CTAATCACTGCAGAGATCAATGGCAGAAGGGCTCCTTAGGCAGGACCCTCTCCAGAGGGCAAATATCCAACTGAAATGCAGAGTAGCAGCCTCATTTATGGGGCAGAATTCCTACTCTAAAGAATGTAAATGGATGAATATCCATTCATGAGCTGCAAATGGTGTTTAAGAACTAATGGCTGACAAATGAAGGCCATTAGCAGAGCAATCCCATGGGGGGGGCATGCCCGAGCAGAGCCACTGGCTGGGTCTGGAAAGCAGCTTCTCTTTGTCCACATGTGGATTGGGCGTCTGGCCGCGATGCAGGGCAGGGTACCCGGAAGACTCCCAACCTGCCTCTCCTCCTCATCTTTTGAGCGGTTCTGAATGGAGGCTGAATGGGACACCAGGGATTTCCCTGAGCTGGGCTGTTTTGCCAGTCCATCTCCTCCAGCTCTGACTGGCAGCAGCCATGGCTGCTCTCTGGGGCTTCAGGCCCAAACCCTCTCTTGAGGCAGGACCTGGGGCTATGCCTGAGATTATGGGCAGGTGGTGGTGGAGAGACATGGAACTTGGAATCTAGCTGAGAAATCAGTCCTGCCTCTGTGTGCCTGGGAAAAGGGCCTGGCTGAAGTAGTCAAAAGTTGCTTGGTAATTGTGTGTGTGTGCGCGCGCGCACAAGAACACCTGCCTCTTATCTCCTGGGAAAGCAGCCTTCAAGGCCATGCCTGGCCAGTTCCCCACCACTGCGGTAATTGGGGAGAATGAATGGCTTCAGCTGTGATGCTGGGCGGGGGGGGGCAGTAGTTTAGAGAGAAATAGTGCTCCTGCCTTCCTGAACATTCAAGAAAATGTGAAGCCTGATTGGTGGGAAATCTGGAAGGGTCCAGAACAGAGTGTTGGATGTATGGAAAGGTTGGCTGTTGTAGGTTTTTTGGGCCATTTAGCCGTGTTGTGAAGGTTTTTGGCCAAACAGCCCGAAAAACCTACAACAGCCATCGGATCCCAGCCATGAAAGCCTTCAAGAATACATAAAGAAGGCTTCTTTGACTGGCTTAGGAGATCCTAGGCAAACCTGCTGCTCTGCTGTGGTCAGCTATAGGGACACACTCTGTGCATGCTACAAAACTATGCTGTTCGCCACACCGACAAGCAATGTTTCCCTCTAATGTCCATGCAGGCAGGCTTCCGGCTGTGAATGGAAGCAAACTGGTGTCAATGCTGGCTCGGCTCTCATCGCCTGATCCAGAGCTGTACATGCACAGCTTAGAGGAAACATTGCCAACAACTGAATCTTAGGCAGAGAAATGTAGCTCTCTACAGTTTTCCTAACTGACAAGAATGCAGCAAGTTACACTTCTCACAGCCTGGGAGAGGAATATGCGGATCAGCTGCTCCTTCATGACTGCAATCACCCATTCATGGCACCGCAGCAAAAACCAGGGAGAAAGTGATGTTCAGTTTCTTTTTTTCCCCTTTTTTTGCATGTCTACCTTGCCAGGCAAACAAATTCCACCACTGGCAAGACTCCTCCTTCCTTCCTTCTTTCCCAGTCGATGTCCTTTGCCTAGCAGATGGTGGGTTCCGCGCTGCCTGCTTCCGACTGAATTCATTTCCCCTTCTCCTTTTCCCTCTTTGCAGATGGATTTCCCGCCCCCCTCCAAGTATCAACTCCAGCCCAATACGTAACAATCATGTTCTCCGTTTCCAAATTCTAATGCTCCCCCCCCGCCCCTGCCCCAAAGAGCACAAGAGACATTGGCAAGGAACAAAAAACAGAAAAGCCTCCCGAACGAATGGCCACCCAGGAGCATAAGGACAGAAGCCCATCCAAGACCAGGACTGGGGGGGAGGGGGGGTCCCAGGGAGCCGCTCTGCTTCCTTGAGCAGATTGGGAGAACCACCCCAGTTCAACTGGGCAGCCCTGGCTGCCTCTCCCTCAGCCAACCCCCAAGGCCCCTGCTAGACCAAGGCTGGCCTCCTCATAAACACCTCGTCAAGCTCCCATCCCTTAACACCTGCAGCACAGCATCTCCCCACTGGGGGGGGGGGCTTTTGGCAGAGAGTGTTTGTAGGTGAGAGAGGAAGACCAAGGTATGGTAGCCTTTGAGAAGGGGGGGGGGAGAGAAGGGGACCACTTGCCTTTGCAACCTGCCTTCCTGCTCACACGGGGCCACTCCAGAGATCTGGCCAGGCTGTGGGGTGGCCCCATTGTGCTCTCCTGCACAAGCACTCTGCCTGGTTGTACATTCTTCCTCTCCCCCAAGGAACAAAATTAGGATCAGAGGAGAGGGAGGGGCCCACGGACAGCAGTCCAGCAGGCCCTTGTGGCTAATTCAAGCAAGAGCTCACACTCCCATTATGAAGGCAGCCAGAAGGTCAAGGGCCTCCGGGTGACCACCCTGCTCTCTATTCCACAGGCCATTTCAAGAGTTCACCCACCTCCCTCAGTCTTCTTGTGTG